GTTTTTCTGATCACCTGCTATACATCTGAGAGGAGGACAATAAGTAACAATGACAGACGCAGCATCAATGCCTTTGAGTTGTGGTATTGGAGAAGAGTACTGAATATTCCATAGACTACCAAAAGAACAACCAGAAATGTCTTGGAGAAAGTGCAACCAGAGTGCTCCTTTGAAGCAAAGGTGAGGGAGTGTCATCAGTGTTGTTGTCAGGAAGAGCCAGTCCTTGGGGGTGGGGGGGGCATCTTACTGGGGGAAATGGGGGGCTAGAGAAAGAGAGGAAGCCCTTCAACAAGATGGATTAACACAGTGAAAATGGACTGGAGCATGTCAGAGATGGTGAAGGATATAGGTCAAGTTTAACATCTGTTGTGCATAGAGTTACGAAATCATATTTAACTGGATGAAACAGCTAACCTCAGTTAGCAATATAAAAATGACAAAAGAAAGATCTCTCTGCTTCCAGAAAGATTAGAACTAAGAAAACCCAATGGAACAGTTCTATTGTTCAACACATAGAAAAAACAAAAGTCAGACTCCCCTGGATGGCAATGGGTATTTTGTAGTTGTTGTTGTTATAGAGATCTTAGGAGGGAACTCAGGGATGGGGGTAGGGGTGTTGGTAAAATATGGCTCGAAGGAGGGAGAAATTGAATCCAGATAAGCAAGCTTTTTTTTAGAAGTCTACTGAAACAAGCATTGCATGGCACAAGAAAGTCAGTAAGTGAAAGTGTGATGTTGAGAAGAAGGCTCAGGTCAAGTTCAAATTCTGCTAAGTTTAGGTACTATTTAGTAGAAGCTTTGGAGACTAGAAAGTGAAAGACTGAAAATACAATTTATGGGAAAATGAGTTGAATGTTGAGATGTGAATGCTAAAGCCAAGTGGCAGGGAACTAAAGAATTCTTTTAACAGAAAAGTAATACAGTCGACATGATCTACAAAGTCACATAATTACAAATGAGGAAACTCCGAGGCACGGGGGCACAGAGAACACATGGTTAAGAATGTACTTAGCACACTACTGGCTGCCAGTTCTTTTCACTGATCTCTATGTTCAGGAGATCACAACTGAGGAGGCGAGGGAAGCCCTCCTCTACACTGGGAGTGTAGGAGTCTACAGGCAGGAAGTAGAGGGGAAAGCTTTTGGTGAATAAAACCTGAAGAAAGAAAAGAAAAAGAAACAAGGGAGAGGAGGGGAGGAGAGGGGAGGGGAGAGGAGAGGAAAGGGGAGTAGAGAGAGAGAAAGGGGGGGGCAGAGAGAGAGACAGAGTTAGTTATTAACAGGTAAAGTGAAACAAACCTAAGATGTTCTAGTGTTGGCTCTTGTACTCTGGCACCATAGCAAGTCTGTGGTACTGAGAAGGAATGTGAGATAAGAGTAGCAGAAGCAGCCACCACACCCCTTCTTTTGTCCTTAGGAGTTATTAAAATCGGTGATGAAATCTAACTCTCTGGCTCCAGTACCTGGTTGATATCCAGCTTTGAGAATCACCTCTGATGTCACAGCAGATGATTCAGAGTCATCCTGGAGCACCTTGAGAGAGGGAGAAGGGAGGTATTTATTTTCCAAAGGATGTTTTGCTTTCATGACATAAGCCTGAGAGTTGAGTTCAAGAAAAACTTCTCTGTGAAGCCAGTGTGAATCAACTTTCCGACGCTACAGTTCTATCTACAACTTTTTTTTATTGGTTTGCTCCCCAAATTCGTATATATTGTGTTTCACACTATTCTTCATTCACATTATGTTTCATACAATCATCCTCATGCATTATGTTTCATAAAATTAATTACCGTTGAACCTTGTTCATCGTTACCCCGACTATTCGCCAAGATCCTTCTCATTCGCCACCCGCCCCCCCCACACACACCCCTGCTTCACCCACCAAACTGTCTTTTATTCCCATTTTTAACACCAGGGTGCTGGGTCCAGCTGTTGAGGATAGCTGTTGAGTGTCCTTTTTCTGAGGAGTGGAATATACAGCTTTCTCGAGGTAAGAGGTAAGTTTGTGCTTTCCCATATCCCTTGCCAGCCTCTGACCTTTTCCCCAGGCAAAGTGCTCTGTGACATTTGTCTGGAAGTAAAACCTTGTTTCTTTGGCTGCTCAGCTCCTCAGAGCGATGACTCCTAGGAAGTTCCCATGACCCGATTGCCACAGGCTCAGACAGGCGTGC